GCCTCCACTCAAGTACTCCCTCAACGCAAGAATACCTTCTTCTATTAAATTGGCATTCTATGATGCTCACCTTTGCAGTACACATTTTTACTGCTAGGTGAGCATCTAGCAACTTACTCTGAGTTAGTGCACTCAGGGGCATCCCCTGAGAAGGTTCTCTCTGGTCACACTGAATTTTTTTTATGAAAGCAGTTCAGTTGAACCTTGTTTTGTTTTGTTTTGTTTTGTTTGTGATGGCTGATGTAAAAGAACAGCATGCAGCTGTGAAATTTTGTTTCCTGTCCAGGGAAAAATGCTGCAGAAACTGTTGTGATGTTGAACTCAGCTTACAATGACAGCACTATGGGAAACATTCAAATGTATGAGTGGTTTTCTCATTTCCAAAAAGGTGAATGTTGAGTGATGACCAGCCTTCTTCTGGACACCTGTCAACCTTCTGAACAGATGAAAATGTTGACTCATAGTGGATTTGGTGTTTGTTCCACCAGGTCAGACTATTCATCAAGCTTTCTATTTAGAGGTTCTGAAAATATTGTATAACAGTGTGCGACAAGAAAAAGGCCTGATTTGTGCCAGACGGGGGACTGGTTTTGCCACCATGACAATGCACCTGCTCATGCAGCCATCTCAGTATGCCAGTTTTTGGCAAAAATCAGCATGCCTCTCTTGCCCCACGCAACTTTCTCTCCTGACCTAGCTCCGCGCAACTTCTTTTTGTTTCCACAAATGAAGAGGGACATGAAAAGGCAGTGATTTGAGGAGGTGAAGGAAAAAACAAGTGAGATACTGTCAACCATACAAACAGATGAGTTTGAAAAATGTTTTCAAGAATGGAATCGGAGATTTGACATATGTGTTAAGTGTAATGGAGAGTACTTTGAAGGAGATAATGTTGTTTGGTAAAAAATTAAAATACATAGCTTTGAAAAAACATCTGGGTGGTTTTTTTGGGGGGGTGGGTGGGCAGGTACTCCCTCATATGTATGCCTATGTGCGTGTGGCCCTACATAACTCTTAATGACCAGATTTGTAGTTTTGTCTTGTCCCACAGTGTCTGTGGCAGGTAGTATCCAAGCATGATACTTTGTGTTTCAAC